GGATTATATCTCCGGCGCCACGGTGGCGCAGTTAGATCATGGAAACGGCGTCGTCTTCGCAGTGTCAGCTGTGTGCAACATTTTCGCCTGCTTTCTCATCTAAATACCGTACAAGTGATGGTTGGTTTGGTTTTGCCTACCGCCTCAGTCGTCTTGCCTATTTCACCTTCGGATAAAATTTAGGTGCTTACGGTACCCAAAATTTGACGTCACCCGTAAGCACCTCAATTTTATTTTTCATTTCTTCCCACTTTATATTATGTTTTAGTATCGTAAATTTTATGAGAAAAATACTAAGATATTTATCATCTTTAAAAAGTTGAACAACTCTTTGTTTTAGGAAAAAATCTGCCCCAACAGAACAGTGCTAACCAATGTGATAAATATCTAAAAATTTTAACAACTCTTTTGTTTTAGAAAAAAAATCTGCCCCAAAAGAAGAGGGCTAACCAATGTTCAAGTTCATGGTGCTGTTTGAAAATTGAAATTATTATTATTATTATTTTTACACTATATAAGTACTTTTTCTTTTTCTTTTTTCTTTTTTTAAGTTTCTATGAATTTGTACATAGTTTGGTTTTTTAGTTTTTTTCTTTCATTATTTGAAGCTTTGCATGTACTGTTTCATGATATATGTTACAATTTTTCATTAATCATGATATAAATCTAATTTTGTTTTGAAACCAAATCAAAACAAGACCTTCTTGTACATATGCTTTTCTGGACCATTAATTTAAATTCATTATCTGAAAACCAGGTGATTTTCTGGTGACATGAATATTAAATTTTAGCATCTATGAACAGAATTGAATATTGGTATTTATGTCAACTTCATACCCTTTCAAACAGCTTTATCTCTTGTTCTTGTCGCTGTAATTCTGTAGGCAACTCCAAGAGCTCTGCCCTTATTGCGAAAATATATTGAGAATTTACGTTCAGGAGTTGTTTCTTTACAGAATTCAAATGGTGGAAGTAAATAATATCCGATGTGATGACCGAACCGAACTTGGGTTGCCATTTTATGCACCACAAAGAACAATTAATCAAAATTTAAACTAAATACTTACTATATTTACTAACTAATGTTTTATTGTAGACTCACCAGCCAGTGTGCTCAGCAAATTCACAATTTAGGAATACAAAGATTAAAGGCGGCTTCTTTTGGTTAGAGCAGCAGCAGCTGGCTTGAAACTGGCAAGACCAGTGATTTCCCTGCCAGTCACCAAGCTGTTGATGTCGTAGGTACCCTCGTAAGTATAGATTGGTTCCAAATCACAGAACGCCTGCGGGGTTCAGAAAAATGAGAAATTGACCTTCTAAGACCGATAATGATTCATTCTCTTAAAACTTCGTCAATCTCATTCTCATTCCGCACTCCTCCACGTATTTTCAATAATTACTTCACAATTGCCTACCTCAATCCTTTTCCACTCATTATATATATGACAAATCTCCCTAACAACTTTTCTAACTAATTACTAATATACTTGATATCTTAATAATATCCCTAATTCTATCCCCATACTCTCAATTTACAAGTAAATCATTTTCTATCACATACTAAATACACAAGTAAATCGTTTTCTGTCAATATCCAACATATAAATCAAGAGGTGAACATTGCAAACCTTTGCAACGAGAAAGTCTGATAAAATCCCATTGCCTCCAAGCAACTCACGTCCAAGAGCAACGGTTTCCCTAGCCCTCAGGGTGATCCATGCCTGATACCAATATAAGAAACAAATATTAATTCAATATAATTAAATATTCATCAAGTTATTTAGGTTTAATCCAAGCTCTAACCTTCCCCAAGCTAGCTTGACCTGGAGTCATCGTGCCCTTCTCGTATAATTTGCAAAGTCGCCAACCAACAAGGAACATTGCCTGAACATTTCCCAGCATGAGGACAAGTTTCTGTTGGTTAACTTGAAAAGCTGCTAATGGTGCTCCAAATTGTTCCCTCTCCTTCAAATATCTGGATTCCTTAGATATTAGATCACATAATGCCAATATCTTGCAGTAATAGATCAATCAGAAGAATAGTGACAAAAAATGTCTGTTATACCTACCTATGACACATGTCATAAACGCCCATTGCTATGCCAATGGGTTGCCAAGCAACCATTACACGTGAGACGGCTAGAACCTGTCCCATAAATAAAAAAAATATAACAATAGAACTAGTAAAAATGTTGATAAAAAAAAAAAATAATTTCAATCAGGGTGTAAAGATGTTGATAAAAAGAAAAACAATAACTGACTTTAAGATTTTCCATAATGTCAGTGAGGTTCATGATGTATTGCTTTTGGTCATATTTCGAATCATACACGAGCGTCCAAAATCCTTTACCGAGTATGGGCAAATGAGTAGGAAAATCTTAAGCATGAAAATTTTTATACAACCAAAAATGTGGGGCAGACAGTAAAATCTGAGATTATCAACTGAACCTTAATTTCCTTTTGCCGAGCTAAATTAAAAAAATCTATAACTCCAAAGGACACAGTTGTACAACCGGTAGAAAAGATCCTGTAGCCTTACTAAACTAAAAATTAGAATGTAATAAATTCTTGAAGCCACCGACAATGATATATCCTTTTTCATCAAGAGCAATAAAGACACGACTGGTAAACGTACCCTTGCAGGTATGACTTACTTTCTAACACGTGCATACAAGTTGAAGTGTGGAACAAAACAAGAACAAAATGAACATAAAAATTAAAAAGAATTTTTTAAAAAATTATTACCTTGTTTGTATCCTTGAAAGAATTTACACCAGGTAATCTATCTTCGTCAGGCACAAAAACTTTATTCATCACAATGTCTCCATTTTGAACAATCCGCAAACCAATTTTATTTTCTATCTTTGTAACCACCAGGCCAGGGGCATTTTTCTTCATTATAAATCTGGAGGGGGGCAAAAAAAAACACCCAGAGTCCATGAAGAAAAATTATATGGGTACAAATGATTGCAAATGTAAGAGCAAAAATCTCATCAAAATTAGTTAGAATAGTTTATATGTATCAACTCAAGAATTTAGAATCGTCCAAATGATATGGCCCAGTGAAATTACTGTAAAACACATAATCTTGTAAGTAAATTTTGGATTTCTGGTTTCTCCTAAATGACATTTTTCAGGCTAATTCCAGCATGTGACATGTAACAGAGGGAGGTATGAGTGTAAAATGAATCTGCAGAAGTCTTAAGTACTACTGTGCACTTGAGTGATGAGGAAACTGCTGATCATGGGAGGGGGGGAAGAAAAGACATCCTGGAAAATGGAAATCTTGTGGGCAGGACACAGAAGTTAAATATTTATGAGTACCACAGGGAGGATAAAGAAATTAACTGCAAAAGATACGTGATTACAGATAATAGGAAAGCAAGTAATGCAAAAATGTTCAAAATTTATTAGTTTTATTTTACAATCAAGTTGAGAAATGGGGACTCATCTGCATGTCTCATACATGCTTTATGTAAATACTTGGCGATCACTCCAATAAGTGAAGTGAGGAGCATTCTTTATGTAAACCTTGTACTTACCCATTTATTTCATTTGTAATTGTATTCCTGGCAAAAATAATCAATAAATCAGCAAAAGTACTGTTCCCTATCCAGCGTTTTTTGCCCTCTATCAACCAACCTCCTTCAACCTGGTTGTCTCAATGTCGCAGAAAGGAACACAGAAAAAGTTTTAAGAGGGGTTAAGAGCGCCATTTCTAGAGTCAGAAATGTACAGACAAGAAAGTGAAGAGCGCTATACCTTTGTTGCTGTTGTTCTTAAACCACTGGCATCACTTCCATTTTCAGGTTCAGTCAAAGCCTACAGACGTGGGAAGAAATCATTTAATTGACGGAAAATTAAGCACGTGCTATGAAATTCAAGCCCAACAACGAGCTCCTTACCCAACAAGCAATAGTGTCTAACTTTGCCAAGGAAGGTAAATATTTATGCTTTTGCTCCTCCGATCCACAAAGAGCTATTATTGAGGAACAATAGAAATTATATGAAGTCTTGAACACTTAAGCATAAATGTCTATTAAAAACCAAGGGTATTAATGTACAGTTCCTCAGTATGACAACTGAGAGTGAGAGGTAACTCTCAAATACTAACCTATAGTGAGCATTGCCAGGGAAGAATGCACCAGAATGAAAGTAGAACAACTTGCATCAACTCTAGCCACTTCGGCAGTAGCAACAGCACTTCCAGTAATGGAGAGACCAGGACACCCGTAACCCTGATAGGCCAAAAATTCAGCTACTAAAACAATTTAACATAAACTTGAGAGTTGACACAGAAATGAAAAGTAAGTACCTTGATCGTACCGCCGGCAATGCACAAGTTACCAAGTTTCGGGACGACATGAAATGGGAACTCTGCCTTCTCCCAATACTGAAAAGGTAAGACCAGATCAACAGACTTGTAGAGTTCTAGTTTATACAAGCAGAGAGACACAGACATATACAAATAATAAAACTTGAAGGTGAATTAGCAACCAAGGCTTAGTCCACGTTTTTTAGTACACAAACATGTTTCATTTTCTTCAAAGAGTTGAGAGCACAAAAATAGCACCTGTGTCATAATTGGAGCAATTTCTTTTTCCACGCACTGTCTCACTTTCTTTCTGAGAGCTTGCTCCTCGGGAGTCAATAGGCCGTTGAACTGATAGTAGTCCGAGACTGTAATTATTCAAAACCAAAATTCAAGGATGGGAAACAAAAACAAACAAACAAAACCGGTAAACCCTTGCTACTCAGATCCTAAAAGTGCAGTGATTATGGATCCTTTTTTTTCTTTTTGATAACTGGGAGTCGGAGCTTGCTCCCTATACCCAAGGGCACCTGCACTCGCCTCAAGGCTCAGACCCGGAATACATCAAAGGTTTTTAGTATTAAGCTCACAAGGAGGTTCAAACTTGAGACCTCTAAGGACCAAGAAACTCTAAACTCTTGCCAAGGGGACTGGCCCTTGGGGACATTGACTGTGGATATTTAAAAAAACGTGTTTTCTTAAATGCAAAGTGCACGGCATAAGAGATGTGTAACAGTGGTAGCAAAAGTTCCCCAGTAAATGTGCATTCTAATACACTGTAAAGAAATGGATGGAGTTAGACAAAATGTAAATGCATGAGCTAAAGCCTTTCAGAAATAGAGATGCTACGAGCAGTGGAGATCAGAGTTATAACCGGAAGGAGGAAAAGCAGATGCAGAAGTTGCTTGTGGGAATGCAACAGAAACATCCAGAGCCGGTAAACCGAAGTAAGAACTTCTTGAATTCTTGTCGTTATCATCTGCAATATTTCGTCAATTTTACAGAAGAATAAAATGGTCAATAATCATAGAAGAAAATCCAAACTTCAGACACTGATAACCATTGAAGAACTCGACTGCACGAATAGAATTAAAAGGAATTTGACAGTAAAATTATTAGCAGAGACAAAATCGCAATTACGGCAAAGCTAAGAAACTCAACGTGAGGCAAAGTGTAAACTGAGAATTTGAAGCGTCCGGCGAATAAAAAATTCATCATTCGTCCCGCGAACAAAATCAACAATCACATACAAACTTCCATCTCACTCCCAGGTTCTTGACAAATCAGAAATCAATCAAATAGATGAAATGAATCTTCATTCTGAATATGTCTAAATCCGCCATAACACAACAGCAGCGAAAACAAAACTAGCTATATTGCACTGATCAAGCGTCATACCATATTTAAACAAAATTTCCGATAACGCATCATAAATTCTTAGATCAAACTCATAAAAATCAGACTCGGAGTCAACAAATCCACCGCACCTTGGCGATTCATTTTCGCTGCCGATCGTCGTGTCAAAAGTAGAGGCTACTGAGCTGGAGTGAACTGAAGAATTAAAACCCACCTCGTATCTTGTTACTCGAAACGCGACGATGGAATGGAGAAGAACAGAGAGATGGAGGGAACCGATAGCTTCTTCTCTCTCTCTCTCTCTCTCTCTCTCTCTCTCTCTCTCTCTCTCTCTCTCTAATGCCGCGAGGAAATGGCGGAAGCGCCGATTCGAACCGGCAAATATACGCGAGGTGGACCAGGTGGCTGCTTACCTGCGAATGGGATGGGAGTTATCGGCACGCAATTCTAAGCTCTTTCTAAGTATTTTATCAAGCTTCGAAATTTCGCAACCAAAAATATCGATAAAATTTTAGAAATTAGAATTTATGGAAATTATTTAAATTAATTAATAAATTATAATTAATATTGACCATTTTTAATTACCATACATAAAAGTAATAGTAATAATATTTAGATGTAAATGTTAAAGTTTGAGCAAAATGATGGCACCTTTATTTAATTAAGTGCGGAAAGTGATATAACGTGATTTGGTAAACATGGTTTAGATATGGTCGGATAAAATACATTTTGCTTTAAATTCCATATTTAGTAATACATGGATGACGACCATAGAATTTAAGTTTAAGTATCTTTTTTTTTTATTTCCTCATCATGCAATTGTAATGTAGTTTAAAAATTTTTAGAAAAAACCTGAATTGATCAAATCGATAAAAATAAATTTTGACCGAATGGATCAACATTACTTCTATTATCGTATAATTGAGAGAATTTGACTTCAAATATTTTAAAATATTTTTTGATATAAAGTATTAAAAAATAAAAATATATATTTATATGTTGATATGATTTTCTTTATCTTTTTTTTTTTACTTGTAAAAAATTTATTGATGGCAATAAATGTTAGAGATAATATCTTCGGATGACTGTTTCAGAAACTTATTTACATAAATGTCTAAATTTTACACTTTTAGATTTATGCCGTTAGGYTTTTAATTTAATTTCATATTTACCCCTATTGATTGCATTTTCATTTATTAATGAATTTGGATTTTTTGAAATATAAAATTGTTATTTCCATAAATTAATATCATGTGGGCCTCAATATTATCCCAATTCAAATTCCTTAATTCTCTCCTCCAAATCCCTCATCCATTGTTTCCGATTTTCTTGTTCGTTCACTTCCAAGTTTTCTCGTTTTTTCTTCCGTTTTTTCTTCTTCGTCCACTGCCCAGCACGTCCTTGTATAAAGTATAACATATTGAATATATAATATACCCGATATAACATAGACTAAACCTTATGAGATATAAAATTTATCCGATGTAAATCCTTAACGGTATATATCCAATAGATTTTTAACTTTGAATCACCATTAGTATATATCGACATACATCTTGAGATATAATATATATCTTTATCTAAACACTATATATCACCACACATACGTTACTCATAACAAACAAATAAAGAAAAATATACTCGTATATACCAATGTAATACCAAAAGTCATATATAAACTTGAGATATATTATATATCCTAATACATTTTCCATGGAAATTGTTTCACCGTTATATATGGAAATATTTTAATCTAGATATATATTATATATCATAATCAGTATGACTATATTATATATATTGAAATATACATTGTTATAAAGGAACCAAAGAGTAGCAGATAGAAAGAGATAGAAAGAGATAATGGGAACCAAAGAGTAGCAGGTTCTGTAAAAAAAAAAAAGAAACCTAAATTGAGCATATACAATAAGAAATATATACCTCGATTCTGTGCAAAATTGAAACGATGTTGCCCGATAAATGCGACGGAGGCCGCCGGAGATGAGAAACTTGGGTACGTAGCCGGTGACGAAGAAGTAGCCGGTGACAATAAAAAAGGAAGATGTTGCCCTATAAATGCGATGGAGACGTAGCCGGTGACGATGTTGCCCTATAAATGCGACGGAGGACGCCAGATTAATCTTCTGAAAGAATGGAGATTGGAAGCTTGAAGATGAGAAATTTTATGAAACAGCCACCGGAGATGCGAACGTTGGGTTTGAGTCGAAGCGGTGAGGAGGGAGATGAAGTGGTTACGAAAAATGGGTTTCTAAAAATAGTGGGTTACCAAATTCGTGGGTTGTAAAAATCTCAATTAGCTTAATTTTAGTGATTTTGGTATATTTTAATAAATATTAACCAATTTCATATTTTATTAATGATTTAATATTGGGATGGATATATTAGTAATTTCTATTATGGATACCATCTATTTTGGAAATTATGTGAGAGAAAAGTGTAAATTCTTCAACTTTCAATCCTTTTATGTAATTGGTTCTCTTAAATAAACCATCTATGTACTAATCCCTAAATGTTACCTATAGAAAATATTTGTGCAACGATATTGCCGTACTTTCTTATTTTCTTTTTTTTAATATTCCAGCTCACGATTTTTTGTGGGAGATAATGAATATTTTTAGTGTTGGTAGATTCTATGCTAGTTTTAGTACGATGCCAAGTCGACATGAGTATCTATATTGATAAAATGAAGTTAATGATAAAAACAATTTTATTTTCTTTGAATTTTTTTAATACAGCTGGAAATTCACGACTTTCCGGTAAATATAACTGCCTTAAATCTACTCAATTATGCTTCACTTTGGTCTTTTCTTTATCCTAGAAGACTTTTTCTTATTTAGGATTTTGGACGGAGATGAAAATAAATTCCATGCGCCCACACTATATGTCCATCCTTATCCTTATCGTACACCTCATCCACGATTTTAATGACAAAATTAAGGTTCCAGGTTCGCCCGACCCTTAATAAGTATGCCTGTGCCATAAAAATAAATGATATCTTTAAGTTTCATTTATGAAGATTTATCAATTAGTTTTCCAAACCAAATCATACTTATATGATTACAATTAAAGTGCGTATAATATCTGCTGACCACAAATATAAATTAGATAATTTTTTAATTTTTTTAGAAAATATAAATAACATATTATTTTTTTCTGCATTTCTATCTCCTAATTGTTGAAGCGAGCATAACTCAGTATTAATTGGAATATATCTCCAATTACGAGGTTGTGAGTTCCACCCCCACATGTTGTATCAAAAAAATTATTAAAAATTTACTCGTGTTTATCAAAAGACGATGAGTATTGACAGATAAATACTAAGTAACAAAAATCTCGCTCTTTGAAAAAGTAGAGTGTTCAAATGAGTGGTAGATATGGTAAGACTACGAGTGTCCGTGGGTTGAGATGAGGTTGAGTAGAAGAGTGTTTTTAGACCTAACTCAATTGTTGAGGTGGTAAATTTATTCCATCCAAAGAACTCTTATTTAATAATGAAATTCAACTCAATCACACCATTAAATTATTTGTATTTAGTTTATTTAAATTATCCATGGTCACTCAAATAAATACTAATATTATAAAATTGAGTTCAAGTTCCCTAAATCAATAGGTTATTTATGGGGTGAAAATTACACTAAAAAACTTAAAAAATTATGTTTAAAGTTGTTGGATTATAAGAATCAAATTATTTAATAAAATAAATATATCTAAATATTAATAAGGTATAATAAGTGAAATAAATGATTTAAATTAATAATAAATTCGGATTGATGATTCAACCTAAATTTAATTTATGTTAGTAAACTGTTTGACCAATCCAACTCGTTTTCATCCTAGTTTTTGACCATCTCTACATAAAACCATGAAGAAAAAAGGTGATAATTTAATGAACCGTTTGATCTAGTCATTGTGAGTTGTGAGTAGTGGACTGGTAGTGCAAGTCCTCCACCAGTCTGGCAATGGAGGTTAAGAGCTTTTTATTTTTCTTAAAAATAGTTTTTAGATGTTTATCAATATTAATAACTAAAAAGAAATGAATACATAGAAAGAAATATATATACACACACAATATAGCTATCCATTTTTAATTGTAATAACTAGGAGAATATTACATACCACACACCTAAACATTATTCTTTTTTTAAGAGCAAAAGTGAACTTTGGATTTGGTGTTTATTTAGTCTTGAAAAAATACTTTCGGTCTTTAAAATTTGAAAAATAATTATAAATAATTCAGAGTAGTCATGAAAGTACGAGAACCACTCCACCAATACATTTTCCTCCATCATCATGTCCGTTATGGTACCGTTTTTCTTTTCAAATATAAAACTATTTTACATATGGAGAGAGAGGGAAACACGACAAGTAGTGAGAGATGGCGGCAGGCATCACCGTAGGAGAGAAAAATGAATAACAACATGTTTGTGAGTGATTTTATCAGGTTTACAAATTACTCCCATTTCAAAATGACATGTTTGAAATTAATTTTCTAAGTAATTTAAAAAGAGAAAATCTAAAATCACTTGTACTCATTTTCAATCAATCATTTGGAAGGTGATTCTCAACCGGTGTTGGACCCTGTCCTCGAGAAATTCAGCACGATGAGAACTTGGAATTGGATACTGGAAAACAATCGTTATTGGAGTCAACATTTTCGTAATTTTTTTTTGTCTTAGAAAAGGAAATTAGTTTTAAAATAGTTATTGTTTTAAGTCTCAATTTTGTTCATCTATTTCACATTATTTTCATCTTAAATTTTGGGAATTCTTTTTATTTCTATAATTTTTGTCTCTCCTCTCTAAACTTTTTTTTTTCTAATTTCTTTGTAATATCTCTCTAAATTTTAGTCCATCGTCTATTTTTTCTAAGTTTATTTCCCTTTCTAAATTGTTGTCTTTTTTAAATTTCACTCTAAGAATTTTGTTATTCTCTAAATTTATTCTCTTTCTAAATATTAATGGCTGAAAATCATTTTTAATTATATGAAAATTATTTGATAAACGTGTAATCAAATAATGTTAAAATAATATATAATAATCCCTTCACAATCATTAGATCTCTATTACTAATTGCGCATTATAAAATCAATTCTCAAACATATATCCTAGGAGAAAAAGAGAGGACGGGCCCTTTGAATTAAACTTTTCCTTGCCATAATGATTCAGCCGGTGCACAGTCGGTGCATGGCGAACGAAACGGTTCATCAAGCCATTTCTCGCCTCAACCCCTAAATAGGAAGTTGGAAGATGGAGAAGAAATTGATCCAATAAGAGAAATATATATAATATAAAAATAATATTTTTTTGACACTTCATCTATAATATTCACATGTCACTATAATCAAATGGAAAAATTAGAGTATACATACTTCTTTTATTCACTACTTGCCACATCAACATCTTGTCAAACATGGTTTGGAGTCTACCAATATTAAAAAAATTATCTATAAATAAATCGTTGGATGAATAAATAATGTATGATACTCTCTTGGTACTAGATTTTTTATCAATCAAATAAGGAAAAATTATAGTACGGAGTACTGTACTCCTTTGTTCAGATTAGGAAAAATTATGGTACTTAAATAGGTCGTATTATATAATATAAAAATATTACTTAAGGACATGTCAAAATGTGAATGAGATGAATTTGTACCGATTGAATTATATTGAGATGGTACAAAAATTTAAAAGATGGATGATGAAATATATTAACAAAATAATAATTTTTGTCACCTCGTTGTTAACAACTTTTAATAATTTTTCATGAAATAATCTCATCATTGAGATTTTTTTAGTACATTAAACAGAAATTAGAGAATAAAAACACTAAAGGGCAAAATTGGGAATTACTTGACACACATTAGGGATAGTTTTGTATTTACCCGTTTGACCTGTGATTCCTTACCTTCCTTTTATTCTTTTGGAGGAAATTCCTTAATTATCTTATCCGCTCCATTGGGATATATACCTTGAGTGCTTTCACTCTGCTTTCATTTCAATTTACTCATCAAAGTGACAATGACCGCGAAGCTTTATGGCTGTATAAAAGCGGTAAAAAAAATATAAGAAATTCACCATAGTAAATTTGGGCTTCAAATTAATTAAGTAATTAAATGGCAGATGTTGGTGCCCTAACTCTTGTGTTACTGGGTCGCACTGGGAATGGAAAAAGTGCAACCGCAAACAGTATTGTGGGAAAGAAGGTGTTCAAGTCACGCAAAAGTTCTTCCGGCGTTACCAGAAGTGCTGAGTTGCATACGTGTGTGCGGAAAGATGGTCAGGTCATCAATGTCATCGACACCCCCGGTAACAAATATCTGATTAATTAATTGCTTTAACTTATATAATTTTGCTTCTCTATTTTGTTTCTAGACAATTACAAAATTAACCACACACATAATCCTTAAATTAAATAATATATAATTAAATACGGAGGTAGTTACATAAATCGAGTATAAAATTTTATAAAATTAAAATTCGAATAGAGATAGGATAAAACATAAATATAAAAAGTTTAAGGAAGGACCAAACAAAATTAAATATACAAATCTCTGAGGTTGGTCTCTCACATGCAAGTATGTAATGCAATGTGCAGGAATATTTGATCTATCCTCAGGAGCAGATTACACCGCGCGAGAAATCGTGAAATGTATCGATCTGGCAAGTGGGGGAATTCACGCGGTTCTTTTGATTTTCTCGGTCCGAACCCGGTTCTCCCAAGAGGAAGAAGCCACCATCCGAATCCTACAATCTATATTCGGAAGCAAAATTGTGGACTACGCCATTGTAGTCTTCACAGGTGGAATATTTATATCGAGGTTCTATCTTAAAATTAAAGTTAATTGGCTATGAAATTAGTAGTTTATATACTTATATAAACATTTTGTTTACGTGATTTGATTTTTTCAATGTGAGATTTTGGCAGGTGGTGACGAACTGGAAGATGATGACATCACGCTAGAAGATTACTTGGGCAGCGACTGTCCTGTGGCTTTGAAGGATATTCTTGCAATATGCAAGAATCGGTGTGTTCTTTTCGATAACAAAACCAGAAGTGGAACGAAGAATGCAGAACAAGTGGGAAAGCTTTTGGCAATGGTGAAGGAAGTGGTGGTGCAAAATGGAGGACAACCCTACACACACGGCTTGTTTTCTGATCTCAAGCTTCAGGAGAAGTTGAATGAGGTAACTAGGTGGACTACCCACCTTGTATTAAAATTTTGTAAATATGAATTAAAATGATCATTTTTTTAAACTATGAGATTAAAACAAATATTTATACTAAAATTAACTGAAATTTTATACTAAAATGAACTTAAATTAAAAGTATAGAAACAAAATGAATAGTAACCTTAATTCTTTCTTCTTCTTAGTTTCTAAAATTATAGGTATAAAAATTAAATTCCCAATATATAATCATTTCCTTTTTTTATTTTTTATTTTATATTTTTTAAAAACAAGCTTAGAAACGCACCAAATAAAAAAACAAGCTTAGAAACATGCCAAATTTTTGAATATATATATTTATATAGTTTTCAAATTTTTCTTTTCGTTTTTTAAATTTAAAAAAGAGTTTAAATATATTTTCAAGAGAGGTGTTTACCTTATTAATGAAATGGTACAAAAACAAACAATAATTTATAAAAATAGAAAACGTTATTAAACGAGGACACGTTTCATAACCATTTCGTTTTCTATTTTGATTTTTTTTTTTTTTTTAAAAATAAGATCGTTCCATAACCAATTCAATTTTCTGTTTTTTGTTTTTCAATCAACATTTTGAAATTCGATGTAACTTAAAAAAAAAAGTTTTAAAAAACATGTTTTTGTTTTTTTTCTTCTAATACTCAATTTTTTTTCCTTTCTCATATTTATCTCTAAAAAATTTATTTCTCTCTAAAAAATTTTTATTTTTAAATTTCTCTCTACAAGCTTATTTCTTTTCTCTCCAAATTTTCATATTTTGAATATTTATTATTATTTGTCCATTTCCAAACTTTTTTGTATTTTTGTTTCTTTTTCCAACCTTTAAAAAATTTATATTTTTCCCAATTCTTTTCTCTCTAAAATTCCATCTTTTATAACGTTTCTTTCTATTTGTAATCTATTTTTTCTTCTTAAAATTATATATTTTATTTTATTCTTCAAATTTCTTTTACTATAACTTTTATTTATTTTTGTATTTATTTATTTTCTCTAAAAATTATATTTTGAATCTTGTTCTTATCTCTAAATTTGTTTTCACCGTAATTTTTCCCTTTCTTTATAATTTCTTTTTTTCTATAATATATCTTTTCCTCCCGATTTACTTTTTTTCTCTAAAATTTTTCTCTTTGTCTTTAACTTTTCTTTCACTATTTTTTTTCTAAATCTTTTTATTTCTCTCTAAAATTTATCTTCCAAAAGTTTATTTACATTTATCTAAACTGTTATTTTCATGTCTCTACATTAGGAGATGACAAAAATTTCTGCAGGATTGGGTTCCAAAAAATAGAAAATGCATATCCCGACCCCGTCCCCACCCCCGATTCTATTTTTTTAATAATTAATATATATTTATTACACTTTTTTATACTTAAATTCTAAAACTAATTAAAAACAGTAATAAAACTAATAATTTTTCTCGATAACATCTCTCGGACCCAAGAACGAGGTGGAGACGAAGACTGAAAATTTTCACGAGCATGAGAATGGGGGAGAACATCCTCACTCGCCTCCACACTATTGTCATCTCTACTCTACATAAAATTTCTCTCTCTAATATGTATTTTCAATTTTCTAACTTTTAAAAAAAAAAACAAAAAATGGTTATTAAACATATTTAAAAAAAACAAAAAATGGTTATTAAACATATATGATTTTTGTTTTTTAAAATCATAAAACTAAAAACCAAAAACAAAAAACAAGAAAAATAAAAACTAAAATGGTTATCAAACGGACCTTTGATATTTTATGATTATTGTGTCGTCTAAAACTTTATAAAACCATCTAATAAATTCTTAAAGTTTTTTTTAAGTTTTATTTTTTTGGTCTAATAGGACGATATTAGCTACGATTTAAAAAATTTATGAGTTGAATTTGTAATTTAAGTTATGACGTTAAGTTTTGAGTTTTTTGTTAGGTAAAGGGGAAGCTTGAACAACAGTTAGTAGAAGAAAGAGAAGCGAGACTGAAAGCGGAAGAAAGAATGCAACAAATACATAAAGAAACTGGGGATGAAATTCGAAACCTCAATGAGTCTCTACGTCTCGCCCTTCAAAGGCCGATAAACGTAAAGGTTGAGTCGAGTCCTCCTCCATCTACTTGCCGTATTCTTTGAGTCCCAAAATCATTATATTGAAGTGTGACACCATTAATTAATATAATTATCATATTTGCATAATATGTATGTATCAAATGCAATTAAACAAAGGGTTGAATAAGGGCAGCTACTTGTGTTGTAATGTCCAAAGATTGTTGTAATAAATTATTACCGTGTCTTATATTATAGACGGATTTATAATTTGTCTTAACAGACAAGCTTGCCATTTAAGTCGAACTTGGTTAAGATATTATAAAATTTAAAAATATTACACTATTAATGAGGAGAGTAGACTCAAATATTTGACCTATAAAAAAAATTGACGAAGATGAATTTAAATTATTCTAATTCTGTAAACAATTATTTCACGATAATCATCCAAATTATAAAATAAAACTGTTTTTTCAGACTTCTGATGGACTATTGAAATATAAATAGTTGAATTTTTGCAATTTTGTTTAGTAAGGCATTTAATAATCTACATAGGCAAGTCGTTGTCATATTGAATGTCACGTTTTGGTTTACAAAAAAAAAAAGTCACCATTTTCCTTACGTGGCAATAGATAGATATTTTCCCATTGAACTAATTTATTTTAAAGTGGAGTAAAATAATGACAGATTTTGAGGTGAGTAAATGTAAAACATAAATTAAGTACAATTTTACTGTTTAACTAAATTACAGGGACAAAAAATTAAAACATTTTAAATTATAAAAATAACTAAAATTAAATCTAAATCATAGAAATTAAATTAATAATTTAATTTCATGATTGGAAGTACATGTCAAATACCGTCAGTTATGCCCCTTTGAAAAATAATTTCAGATTATCATATCTATAAATCTAGTGAGTATATAGATAAATATGAGTATATTTAACAAAAAAAAATAAATATAAATATAAAAATTAGCTCAATTGGTTAAAAAAAAAGAAAAAAAAAAGAGAAAGTACAGATGGCGTTCCGCGCGCAAAAATTAGAAATCAATAACGATAAGCGTTCCCGCAGAGAATATTACGAAGAAGAGAGTGCGAGTGGAATGCCCATTGACTTGAAAGTTAGGAGTGAAAACCGATGAATCCACGCGTTCAGCCATCATCGGAATGATTATCGGCCATATTCCAAGGAAGAAATCGACGGAGTGAGGTTGATCAATCATGTTTGCCAAGAGATTGTTGCAGAAGGCCATTCACCATACTCAGGTATCGTCTTCTACGTTCCCTCCTCGCAGTGGCCGTTGTTTCTTCCATCAGTTTCTACTTCTAGCTGCCTGATTCTATTTCGACATGGATAGCGATATTCGAATTCATCAACAATGCTGATAATCTAGGGTTTTCTTAGCTCAAAATTGATGAAATCCACAACCTGTAGAGGCTTCGAATATAATCGTTTAGGGAGCTAATCTTAGCGTACATTTCAGCATCTCGTTTACCTCACAGACGAGTAATGGAAGACATATTCCACTTGATGAAATCCGCAACCCACAGAGGCGACGAATATCATCGTTTAAGGAACTAGTCTTAGCGTGTATTTTCAACGTCTTGGTTAAGTCTCAAGCTTTGCACAATATAGGTATTACTGGTCAATTAAGAAACGAGGAAGAGATATCGTGTGTAACAACTCTTTTGCATTTTTTTCGTTACTGCTCTTGGCGGGCGATCTTTGACGTCTTCTTTTTTACGTTGTGGCATCCTTTCACGTGCAATGCTGTTAGCTATTTTTCGTTTGATCACGGAGCCGTACTCAATTTTTAACTAATCAGATACACCATGGCCATTTGTTTTCATATTTTCTCCGTTCAGCATGCTGTACAGCGTGGTAGTTTAACACCGGAGGACTTGGATCTCAGAGTTGCGGTTCACTATGGCATCCCGTCAACTGCATCCATTCTTGCTTTTGACTCCATCCAGCGGCTTCTGGCCATTGGAACACTGTGAGTTGGTCCTCTCTGTTACTTGTAAATTGTGTTGAAGCGAGTAGCTTGTCACCTGCATCTTAACTATGAATAGCGTGTTCTCCAGCTATTCAGGTTTTTTTCCCTTTCTTTTTCCTGTTCGATGTGGTGATCTCATTACGGGTATAAAAGAATTTGCCAATAAGTTTTTGGCCTATCTTATATGTTATGCAAGATCATCGTGATTTTATCCCATGGAATCTATGGCACCTTGAAGTTGGAGGAGTGAGGGTTTGACTTTGATACGTGTATTAGTAGAAATCGATAACAGGAAAATTGAAGTCATCTCAACTGAAAGATGATGTTTTCATGTCAGGGATGGAAGAATAAAAGTGATTGGTGGAGATGGTATAGAAGGGCTTCTTATGTCCCCAAACCAATCGCCTTACAAGTACTTAGAGGTAAAAATTGTGCAGTTTTTAAAAGTGAGTTATAAACTGATCACTTCTTTCCCATTTAGTTGCAACGGAACTGATAGTGCATTTATTCTTACAGTTTCTACAGAATGAAGGTTATTTAGTCAGCATCTCCAATGACAATGAAATTCAGGTATTGAATCTTCACTAACCAAGTAGTTTTGAATTCTTGATAACCATGATGAGATACTAGCCTTCACATCTATATCATGAATCAAATCAATAACAATCTTGAACCACACTATCTTGTTTACTCCTACATTGCATTCTTAAGTTTACACATTTCAGCGTCAATAAAATTGCCAAGACAGTGAGTTAATGTTGGTTTTCTGTTTATCTATAGCAGTGTTATTAGATAATATCAGCAAACTCTCCTCTCCAGTCTCATCATGAAAGTAGTTGACTAGGATTTGCAAGCGTCAAAAAATTGTATTCCTTAGTAATGAGGTTTTTCAGATTACTTTTTTGGATGGCAAGATACTGCTGTGCATCAAAAGTTTCTATAAAAGCAGAATAGAAAAACTCTTCCTTGCCTGCATTAAGATTTCAAACATGTTGTCAAACTTAGTGGGGATGCTCCCTCCAGTATGAGCGAACCTTTTCGGAACTGGTGAGGAACGGGCGCCATGAGACTAGCCCGAATCCAACCATGTTCTATTTCTCACGCCCTTCCCAACAATTGAACCTTGTCTTGCTGTGTCTAAACCTTCCTCTTTGGAGAAGAAATGGACGTTGCGAAAATATACCACGATTGGCGTAGTCGCTCATAGGGACATATCTATCCGTCTCGAGTTTACATTTTAAGTGGATGCAAATTTGTCTATGTAGGAAATGTTTCAGTATTAGTTGTTTTTTTTTTCATGGCAGGTCTGGAATCTGGACAGCAGGTCTATAGTATGCTGTTTGCAGTGGGAATCAAATATAACTGCTTTTTCTGTTGTTGGTGGCTCCCACTTCATGTATACCAACTACTTATGCACCATCTTATTCAGCTTTCAATTGACCAATAGCTGGAAATTGATCTGTTAAAAAAAAACAAAAGAAAAGAAAATAAACAATTATTCGATAACATGCAGGTATATCGGGGATGAGTATGGTTTAATGTCAGTGATCAAGTTTGATGCTGAAGATGAAAAACTTCTGCACTTGCCATACCATATTTCTGCAACTTCTATCAGCGGTAATGTCTGCTGTTTTATTCAGTCAGAGACATTATTATCTAGTTCATAGAAATGCATGATGTATAATTCTGCTTCTGGTTCAATTTCCTTCTTGATGGTTATTCCATATTGCATGGGCGACTTTTTGAAAAAGGAACAAAAGTAAAAATAGTGGGGGATAGTTGCATGAGCAAAATGCGGTAACTCAGATGTTCAGTGCATTTTACTTTTACTTCAGGCGTATTCCCATACCATACTAACTTTTCAACATCTTTTTTGGCCATAGATGTTGCAGGGTTTCCATTTCCTGATGATCAACTCTCACCTGTTATTGGAGTTCTTCACCATTCTTCTTCTATTGGGACTAGGCAAGAAACTTGCACGGAATGCATTAACTTTATTAATTTCTGTTATCTTCTTTGATTTTGGATTAGAAACATTGGTACTATAGGTTATTATTTTTTCTATTGCCAATAATGAATGGTCAGTTGTTAAACCATGTTCTTAGATTTAGTATGTTGCCTGTGAAGCAGTCTCATGAATATGGGACAAACATTACACGAATATGATGATTTATCATTTCCTAAAAAGTTAGGACACAAGTATGGACACGTTGAAGATACATTTATAATTGTTTCTTTTTCACCATGTTTAATATTTGAACGCACTTTAATTTTTTAATGTAATATACTTAAAATTCATATTTAAAGCATTCATATTTGCACTTAAATAAATTATAAGAAACTAATTACAAAATTTTATTGACGCAACATTTTATTACAGAAATTTGCTCATGGTTACAAAAAACTATCTTTAAAACATAGTCTATAGAAGCTGTAATTTTATCCTTAAATAATAATTCCAATATTTCTCATTTAGATACCATTTGATTTCTTTATTATTACATTTTTTTTTTCTCTTACGTGAAGTTCGGCACTTTCTTCTTCTAATTTTAGTTTGTGTTGTTCTTTCAGTGTTTTGATAGCATATGCAAATGGCTTGTTTTTACTTTGGGACATCTCAAGAGGTGTAGTTCTTTTTGTTGGAGGTGGAAAGGATCTACAGTTGAATGATGGACTTGATGAATCATCAAGCAAAGTGGATGATGACATTCCAATTGATATTCTGGAAAATAGTTTAGCAGACAAAGAGATAAGTGCCCTCTGTTGGGCATCCTCCAATGGATCAATTCTTGCTGTGGGATATATAGATGGAGATATCTTATTCTGGAAAACGTCAATTACTGCTTCTAGTAGAGGTCAACAAGGTTCGCCATTATCTAAAGGTGTTGTTAGGCTACAATTATCATCTTCAGAAAAAAGACTTCCTGTTATTGTCTTGCATTGGTCTGGAAACTGTAGAGCACCTAATGATTGTGATGGGCAGTTATTCATCTATGGCGGTGATGAGATAGGATCTGAAGAAGTTTTAACGGTGTGTTATTTCATTCCAACTCTTATACATTGCTTTGTCATTTCTATGGTTCCTTTGTATACTTGGATGTGGTTAATGAGTAAAAGGATAATCTCCGACGACATTCACATCTCAAGCAGTAATTAAATTGCAAATGTCTTCTTCACTTGTACTGTCATTGGAAGGCTAAATTTTGAGTAAAAAATGACAATTCTCAATTATTTGACAGCATTGTTCTCTAATGAGATTTATGCAGGTAGATAGTGAAAACATTAATTTTCTCGCTATTTTCATCTTTTTTATTAACTTTCTATTGAAGATTACAATATTGACCTTTTTAGTAATGGTCTGTATTATGAAAATGCCTTTTTTGGAATCGGGTATGTTAGTTTTATGTTTTGACTTTCAACAGGTTTTAACCATTAAGTGGTCACCTGGAATGGAGGTTTTGAGATGTGCTGGTCGTACAGAGCTCAAACTTCATGGCTCTTTTGCAGATATGATCTTGTTGCCAAGTCCTGGTGCTGCCGGGAATGGTCCTAAAGCAGATCTTTTTGTGCTTACAAACCCTGGGAAACTGCACTTTTATGACGAAAGTACACTGTCAGCAATAATAGGTAATACAGACAGCAAACCATCAATCTCCCCACTGGAGTTTCCTGCAACGATACCTACAGCAGAGCCATCCATGACCACATCAAAGCTTGTTAAGTTGCCCACTGGGGGATCCTTGACAAAGATTTTATCTGAGGTATTGTATTTACTGCCCTTTATATGAACATCTCTCTCTTCTGCTCTGTTTGTGTGCCCTCAATTATACTCCCTTGACTTCAACAATTTGCTTTCTTAGCTAGCCCTGACGAAGCTTAGTTCAGCAGCAATTCAAGCTCCTAGTGCAAAGTGGCCGTTGACTGGAGGAATACCCTGTCAGTTGTCTACAGTGAAAGATGATAAAGTTGAGAGGGTTTACTTAGCAGGTTATGCTGATGGTTCCATACGCGTTTGGGATTCCACCCATCCTGTCTTTTCCTTTATGTGCCATTTAGATGCTGAGGTTAGAGCTCCAAATAAGCTCTGTTATTTTTCTGATGGAAGGAAATGATTTAAGCCTTATTATTAATGCTATATATTTGGCAGTTGGAAGGTATAAAGATTGCTGGTTCATGTGCTCCTGTATTAAAACTGGACTTCTGCCGTGCTACTGCTTGTTTAGCTGTTGGCAATGAATGTGGTCTGGTTAGAAATCTTTTGTTTTTGGATAAGATCGGGCTTCTAATATTCTTTTGTACTTATTGTTTCCTTGCTGAACTAACTTCAATAGGTGCGGGTTTATGACCTTAAAGGCAGTGCTGATGAGAAAAGCTTTTACTTTGTTACTGAATCTAGACGTGAAGGTAATCTAATTTGTAAATTCTTCCCCTCCCTCCTTTTTCTTCAGGAAGGGGAAAAAATTACCTTCGCTATACATGCTAACAATCTCACATAGAATTTGGAAACTAGGACCTCAATATTTATAGAATGGATCCTGCATGTTTAACTAAAATTTCATGTGATTTATTATTCTTAAAGAACCAAATGTTTTGTCGAGGTTAAAGTTTGGATTGGTTGAAGGCGAGCCATTGATATTGTGAACAGTTTAGCCTCTGCATTAAAACTTCAACCTTTTTCCAGGTCGGGAGTACAATATCAAAAAATTACAAGACAGTTTGCAAATTAGAGCATAGATAATCATTTTGTTAAGTTAATGCCAGCTTGTAAATTATTGTAAGAGGTTGAATCTAAGATTGCTATGCTTCTCGTAGTATTCTTCATGTCCTTGTTTCAATGGAAAATGGTAGGCCATGTATCTGGATTATCTTTGCTACTTAATTTTAAATATTTTTACTAGAAACCTATGTACTAATAAATATGGTCAACTTGTTCCACAGTTCACAGTCTGCTTCAAGGGAAAGGACCTCATTGTAGAGCTGTTTTTTCTCTCCTAAATTCCCCAATTCAAGCGTTGAAGTTTTCTAAATGTGGAGTTAAACTTGGTGTGGGGTATGGAAGTGGTCGTGTAAGGATTCTCCATAACTGAACTTTTTAACTTTACTTTCTTATATGGGGACTGTGAGCTTGTGTTTTTTTTTTTTTCAGATTGCAGTGCTCGACATTTCTTCATCATCAGTTTTATTCTTTAAGGAAGGCATATCTAACTCAAGCTCTCCCATTATTTCAATGATTTGGGAAGAAAATTCTGCTGCTACTCAAGGCCCTTTAAAGAGCCCCAGGCACTCAGGAGCCAAATCTGCAGTCAACTATGCAGAAGAAACGTTATTTATCTTAACCAAGGATGCAAAAATCAATGTTTTCGATGGTACTGCCTGTGACGTGATCAGCCCTCGCCCGTGGCATTTGAAAAGGGAATCAATTGCAATTTCAATGTATGTTATAGGCAAGTATTAAATCCATCCTGACAAGATAATAAGAAAATAGAAACTTTGGGCATGTGTACCTTTGTCATTTCAAGGTTTTTCATTCTTGTATCCAGAGGGTGGTATTTCTGTATCTGGATCTCCCGATGAAAAGTATACCGAGGCATCCCAAAATCCTACTTTCAAAAGTGGAGCTGTTCCAGGCAGTGGTTCAGCTGGATCAAATTTGCATGAACACCAACATCACCCTTCTGCAGAAACACCATGCTGTGCCGAAAAGTTTCTTGATTCATTTGTTCTACTTTGTTGTGAAGATTCATTGCACTTGTACTCAGTTAAATCTATAATTCAGGTTCTTCTATGTCTTTTCATCTTTTCTATTCTTTCATTGTTGTTTTGCTTCAATTGCTAACTGAAGGCTCTTATTATAACAGGGAAATAACAAACCCATTCGTAAAGTGAAACATTCAAAATGTTGCTGGACTACTACTTTTATGATCAAAGAAAGAGATCTTGGAGTAGTTTTGTTGTTTCAGTCCGGTGTTATTGAAATAAGGTAAGGAGCTAGCCTTTTTCACTTAATTTGCTAATGTTATTAGATGTTGTGTAGGCTTGATTACTTTATTTATGCCAGAGCAACCCTACCAGATTGGATAAATATAAAATTGTTCATTTATTAGTCATATACATTTAGGTACTATTGTTGTTTATTTGATTGTTGATGCTGATCTCAAATTTTCACTAGATCGTTGCCAGATTTAGAGTTGCTGAAAGAAAGCTCCCTTCAATCGATTCTAATGTGGAATTTTAAAGCAAACATGGACAAAATTTCAAGTTCTTCCGAACATGGGCAGATTGTGCTGGTATGCTTGCTAGTATATATTTTCAGTCAGAAAATGACATGCTTTTTAGAATATTTAGCAGGCTTCGTGCTTTTAAAGACTTATTTGGAACATCCTCCTTGAGTTTATAGGTCAATAGGGGCGAGGTAGCATTCCTCTCTCTGTTATCTAATGAAAACAAGTTCAGGTACCGTACTGTGACGTTCTTTTAATTGGCATGATGTAATATAAGTTAAATCATGAAAGAGGAATAGACAACTAAACAGTTTGCTGTTTTTAGGATTCCTGATTCCTTGCCTAGTCTTCATGATAAAGTTCTTGCTGCTGCCGCTGATGTTGCTTTTAGTGTTTCATCGTATCAGAAAAAAAATCAGGTTTGAAGATGATGTTTCCCTTTTTCTATTAAAGCATATATGATTTTCATCCAGCCTCAAGTTATAAGTGTGTTGCTGCAGCATCATTCAACGGGGATATTAGGTAGCATTGTCAAAGGCTTCAAAGGGGAGAAAATGGCCCCTACTGTGGATTTTTGCACTACTCGTGAATCTTATTGCGCTCATCTGGAAGACATATTTCTGAAGCCTCCTTTCTCAGATTCATCTTCGGCTCTTAAAAATACCAAGGAAGTTGAAGAACTCAGCATAGGTTCTGCTCTAAACTAGTCTCATAAGCCAGATTATTGTTTCTTGCTGAATTTTTTCAGTTACTGTTTGCTTTCTTTTGAATTAGATGATATTAAAATAGATGATGAACCACCGCCAGCAGCATCTACTTCATCCAATGAGGTTAAAGGTATAACCCAACTGAATCCGGATCTCACAAGAGTATTTTAAGTTACAGTTTCGTCTTTATTACAGATTAGTAAATTATGTGCTTTTTATGCAGAAGAGAAAACAGAAAGGCAAAGATTGTTTGGAGATGGGAACGATGACTGGAAGCCTAAAACTAGAACAACTGAAGAAATTTTAGCTACATACAAATTTTCCGGGGTAATTACAGATGAGAACTACTTTGATTCAAGTTTTTTTCCCCCCTCTAATGTAACAACGAAATGTAGGATGCTTCTTTGGCTGCTGCACATGCAAGAAACAAACTTCTAGAGAGGCAGGAAAAACTAGAGGTACGTATAAAGCTGCTATTTCACGCAAGGCGTTTTATGGAATAGCAAAACTCATATAATAGAGAGGATCAATTACCAATTTGGCTTGCTCCCTTTTAAGAAGGAAATCTGTTAAAAGGTAATTAAAAGCCCAAGTGGCATGAACGTTGGCGCTTATTTGAGTAAAATTTAGGGCAAAGTCATGATGTGAATACGTATGTTACTACGTGCTGTGATTAGTGAAGGAGCTAAAACTCAATTGTCATTCCCGCTCTTCCTTTTTCTCCCCTTCAGCATTCATTAGTTGTTACGCATATGTTCAACTTTCAGGATACACACACGTCACAAATCGTGCTTCACTTTAGTTTTTTTGTTTTGTAGAAACTGAGTAAGCGCACAGAAGACCTGCGAAATGGTGCGGAAGACTTTGCTTCATTGGCAAATGAGCTTGTAAAGACGATGGAAAAGCGAAAGTGGTGGAACATATGATAAACATATCTGGGTTCATAGGTATTTATCTCTTCGCAACTCCTCTGGCCCTTGAGCATGAGCTACCAATACCAAGTAGTCAGCAAGGATTAGACGTGCAGAAGGCGGCGGGTCGATCTGAGTGTCATAGTTTATTGTGAACTCGAATCAACACACACTCATTAGTGGAAGTGGAGTTGAGTTCTGTGGGTGAATATGGAGTTTTGGAGTTTCTAAGATGTGCATGTAATTGTTAAATAAATATTTTTACCATCGTGTGAGTAATTCTATTACGAGGCTTATTTATTTATCATGTGAAGCCGGTAGTTGCAGAGGTCGTAAAAATGTTGTGGATGATGATGCCAAAGCCAGAGGTTCACTCCCATCACCGGGATAGGTATGGTGCCATCCCCTTTCATTGTTATATGTGTTTATTCTTAAATTGGCTTGCTTCCTCATTGTTGTATGTTTAACGACTTAAAAAACTTCTCTTAGTTTTTAGAAGTTAGCTTTAATTTTGATAACTTCATTAGGTAGTAGCAGGTCAAGAATATACTAGTAAAAATAGTGTTTATAAGCCTATGTTTTAAAAAATAAAAAACAAAATGGGATGTTGAGATATAGAAAATAATACTAATAAGTCTTCGGATTACAAATTGTTTAGTAAGAATGATCAGTCAGTATATCGCAACTATGAAATAATTTCTGCTCAATTTCTCTATAAAAAATAATATAGTAGTGCTCTAAACATCAATTTATTTATCTTTTAAATATTATATTATTACTTGTATTTTCATTTTTCTTAGTTTAGTCCGCGTAGCCTCAAATTTTCATTTTGATCTAAGATCATTCTAGTTCATTTTCATTTCTTTTTGTTTTTGGTCAAATTTTTATAAATGTAGCAGTAAATTTATCAAAGTTGAAATTACAAGGCCAAAACGAATCAAAGTTAAAAATAGAAAACCAAAACAGTATTGAAAATGTAATATGATTTTATTGTAAATAAGAGACTATTAATTTATTACTAACAAATTCTGGCCGATTTCAGATCAAACTAATTTTAACAAAAATCATGAATTAATTCAATAAAATAAAATTTATTTGAACTCAATTTTTCTAGTTTGAACCCTTACTGCTCAAACATTGCTGTCATCAAGTCATTGAGTTAGTGACATCATAAAAAAGTCGACTGTCTATATTAAATAATGATGTCATAATGCATGTGATCGATTATAAAATTTATTTAATCTCATAACCCTCTCCCATCGTCAAGCCCCCTCTACTTCTCCCATCCCTTCCCTTTACTCCTTTCCTCTTGCAGACTATAATATAAAATCAAGAAACCTTGTCCTATCATCGAAAGGTAGACCAAAAAACATCACATCATCATTGGTTAATGGATTAGGACTGTTTAAACCCATTTCCTATAGACTACGAAACAAAATGGAGATTTTAGACTAAAATGACAACTGAAAAAAAAACAATCTAACACCAAAAACAGATTGGGATAATCTAATAGAAACTTAAAAGAATGGAATATCATCTAGCATTCTGATTAAGATGAAGATTTTGAAAATTAAAGGCCAAAGAAAAGGAATTCTTCTTGCTACCAATATGGAGATTAGGATGGGCATTATAAACCAAGATGACTGTTGTAACAAATTTAAAATTCCTAAATGAAGTCCAACAAACCAATCAAACTTATAAATTTGTCATTATGAATTAAGCAATTGAAGATATAATATAGAATTAGTCGCAATAAAAGCAAACGTGTAACCACACATTAATTTTAAAACAGCTTGCTCTAATTATTCGAGCAGAAAGTCAAAAGTCTACTGTGAATCTTAACTTAAACTATCTCTGTCCAAAATCTCATGAAGTGTTTTTATGTAAAGGAGAATTACTTTCAGGAGAATTTTTCAAACATATTACAGACATGTCCATTGCTATTTTGGGGTAAAAACTCAAAGGCCTTTTCTTCTTTTTGAGAGGACATGAATTTGAAACTTTAAAATTTTGATTTCCTAAGAAAGGTAATAGGGAGTAATGTTTAGTATATGACGAATAGACATATAGAAACTGAATCTCTCTCCATATACAGCCTCCCTTCTTAGCTATTATGAACTTGGATTAGATTGTCTAGACTTCACCGGTTGCTAATTTGATGGCAATGATCACAAGAAGTGACATACCTATGACCAAACGCCTCCAGAATTGTCAATGATTCTGGACTCGGAAAGTTTCCTTCCAATAAGATCTCTCAACTCAATCTCACCCGGAAATCTCTGCTCCTTCAACTTAGAGAAGACCTTCAGACAAAAGGATATTATCAATAAACAGTCGTCTCACCAGAATAAGCTTTCAAAAGAATCTTACCATTTCACCATCACAATATACTTCGAAGGCTCCGGAACTTTGTAAGAATGACTGGATAAAATTTCCAAACAGCCAAGTGCTTGCAATGCTTCCAAACCTATTTGCACGCAAGGAGTAGTACCAAGGTGGTGGTGCCATCCCCAACCTAGGAAAAATCTGTTCGCCAGCCATTATTGTTGCAATAATTCCAAATTGAACAACGGGTACTACTTTGCTAAGAAGGCGCTTTGGGAGTGGTGGGGGGTAATTTGCCAAAATAACTTCAACTCCAGGAAATGATGACTCCAGCATATTTTTCATGGTTATTGCAGTACCTCTGCCACAAGAAGTGTAAAACCGTTTAACATCAAGCATTTCCACAAACCGAGATAATATGATCGAACCAACTACATTTAAGAGAGCAAACCCCAAAACGTATGGATCAAATGCATGCACACAGCTTCTTATCATTTCTTGTAGGGAAAAGAAAAATCTCTTGAGCACATATCAGAGTTCACAGACTGAAAGACAATTATGGTTACAAAATAACTAACACCTTCAATTAGTGCCTGTTAGATGTTTCTTTTGTACAATTAGGGAAGATACAATATTTACTCCATGGAGAACATTGGCATAGTCTATTGGCCCACTTGGAATCACGAATGAAATTCTCTTCCATATTATCTTGGGTATCAACGATAAAATTATGAAGTAAATTCTATCATAATAAGAATAACTCTTGTTCATGTTTTATCCCAGACCCAAAGCTAAGCGAGCATGCAACATTAACCTGCTTTTCAGCCTATACGAAATTGAGCTTGCAAAACATAATCTATTGAAGTTATAAATAAGTTCGTTCAATTAAAATCTCAAGCAGCAGGTGTCAACTATTGAAACATTGGAACTTCCATTTCTCTGTCTTGTTCCAAATCAGATAACCTAACACAGTAAAGTTGGCTCCAAATGGAATTATTACAAATTATTTCTGAATTGAGGTCTGCAACTGTGTTCGTTTAAGACTCGTGTCTTTAACAAGAAAAATACATTCATAGAGGAACAACAGTGAAGATTCAAGAGTTCAACAAGTTTTTTTTTTTTTTTTTTTAATTATAATGACACTCAACAACCGCTACAGAGTAGAAAAATTTTAATATCTGTTCAATCGAGGAAGTTAACGATGATAAAAGAAACTTGCGCTAAAAAAAACTAAGAAATCAAGTTTAAAGGAACAACAACAGCGAAGATTCCAAAGTACAACCAATTTATCATCATAATCAACCACTAGAGAGTAGAGACCCCGAAATGATTGTTCAATCGAGGAAGTTAAAGATAATAAAAGAAACCTGTGCTTAGGGAGAGAAAAAAAAAATCTGAGGTTTAAAAAAAAACAACAATAGTGAAAATTCAAGAGTAAAACCATTTTTTCGTCATAATAATTCTCAACAGCCACTAGAGAGTAGCGAAATTGAAATATCTGTTTTACTTCACTGTTAGTTCACTGCAAATTCAGCTAGCGAAATAAGAGTCGATGAGAAAAAAGTAGGAAAGGAAAATCACATAAACGTTTGATTCACTCGCTTTCCGCACAAAATGAAATCAAAGGAGGAACTACCTGTAAGAACAAGAAACACAGAAGTTGATATTAACAATGCTGCCGTAGCCAATTCCTCCGTTTCCGCTCCGTTTCTGCATTCCAAAACGAGACGACAAAATTAAGTCGCTGAATTACCACAAAAGAACAACAAAAATCAAGAACAGTTCAATCAAACATGAAATCATTCACCTCCGTAGGAAATTCAGGCGGTTCCTGGATGACTGCTTGAGATTTAGGCTGGTAGTGAACTCGAGCTGGAGGGCGATGGACGGGTTTAGGAGGCGGCGGAGTGAAAAGGTTCACAATATCAGTAAAAAGCAGAAAGATCGGCAACCCTAACAGAACTACCTGAGCGCGATCCATGGAATCAACGATTCAAGTCTCGAGAACCAGAGGATTTCGAGTCCAAGAAAGACGAAGGGAAAATGTTAGAGGAAGTGAAGAACTCGCCGACGAAAATATGAAGCCAAGTGAAGGCTAAAATTGTCCTCCAGAACTTCCTTTGCCGGGCTTTCGGAACGGTTATACAGCTGGGCCGTAACACGGCCCATCCGGCCCGATAAACATTCCAAAGTGAGGCCCAATGCAGTACGGGCTTGAAGAAAACAAAAGGCCCAAGTTTCCGCCAGGCCAAAAATCTAAATGAGAAAAGGCCCAATCAAGGAACGCGGGTAGTCAACAAAGTCGGCAGGTCTAATAAGATTCTGCGTGAGTCTCCGTCTTCAGACAGGAATGCCAAGAAGTCAATAACTACGGCACGTGGTACGGACAATAAATCAAAATAGGAATAAATGTTATTTAATTTGAGGAAAAAAAATATCCAATCAATGGAATAAACAATTTAACATCAAAGACTCATGCACCACGCTATTCCCATTCTTCTAGAAAGAGTTTCCTATATTTAGATATAAGATAAGAGCCTTGTTAAAAGAAGAAAAACAATTAATTTCATTAAAATTCAATCGTTGAAATAGCTTTTTCTTATAGAATAGAAAAAGAAGGAGTGAATTATCTTTCTTTTTTTTTTCCTGAGTACAACGTGTTGGGGAGAGGATTCGAACTCATAATTCTTGAATCTTGATTAGGGTTTTATCCTCTCTTAATTGTCTTGTACTAAAAAAAATTATTTACAAAAATTAAGATTTTAAAATTTTCCTAGAATTCTCATCCTAAGCATACAATTCATATACATCATATTTATTGAACTCAAAAGAAAAAGAAAAAAAAGAAAATTTATCCTCTAATTTTCCCCCTCTTTTCACTCTCTCTCTCATTTAAATTCATATACCTCATATTTATCAAATTCGAAGGAAAAAAAGATATTCTCCTCTAATTTATCCCCTCTTTTCAAATGTTTAAATCGAAAGGTTATGCACACATATATATAATTAGAAAAAGTGTCCAAATTTAAGATTTTGCCTTAAATATACATATTTTGTTTGTTTTACCTTTGCTTTTAAAGTATTGTTAATTCAAATCATCCTCTTCGTTTTAATAAATAAGTAAATTTAGATTTTTCAACCTCAAATTTATTTATTAAAAGTGATGAGGAATAATATTATTATCATATGAGTAGATGGCAACTAGGATTTTGTTTTTATATATTTTGTTGACTGTAATTAAATTTGTGACTAGAAAAAATTTTGAGAATAAAATTATCATAGAGGTGTCATTGGTCAAGAGAAATTATAGTTAATTGAGAAAAAATAAGTTTAAACTCCATGATAACCATATATCTTAAGAATTAGTAATTCTTATATATTTTCAGCACCAAATGTTAAAGAATATATAGTTTTGAATTCGTTAAGGAGAAATATTATAACTATTTGTTATTACTTTATTTACTTTTTAGTAGTGAAAGGGTTGATGAGATGGGAGACAAAAGCCATGAAAGGGAAGTTTGTCTTAAGCTCTTGATTAGCTCTATTGTACAGTGTATGCGGTAGCTGATAGGCTGGTCAGGCATTGGCGCTACCTTTAGCCATTTCTTTTACCCTATTTTATGGTGTGAATTCAACCACCTAAAAGCTCCTCTATGATCCTCCCTTGTCTCTTTCTACCGACCCTACTCTTCATAATCCCCACTTCCAAATTTTCTCCCTAAATTCTCCTCCAACGTCGCTTTTCCAAATTCTCTCTCTTTGTCCCTCACTGCACATTTCACAATGCCCAACTCCGGCCAACCCAATCCCGGCTGCTTTTCCGGCATGCTGCGGCGGCTCTTATGCACCGGCAATCTCCCCACTCACCCATCCGACGCCCTGAACGAACCACAGTTAGAAAAGGCCGCCGAGGCTAAACCCGGGCCGGGCGTGGTGGCTCGGTTGATGGGCTTGAGTTCGCTGCCGGACGCCAATTGGGTCCCGAACCACCGAGCCCCGGGTGCGGTCCCGCGCAGCAAATCCGTGAACTTCGCGGATTATCTGCTGCACTTTGACTCGAGTCAAGCCCACCACCGCCGAGTCCGAACCTCCGCGTCGTTTCGTGAGGTCCCACCGTTGAATCCACACAACGATTTCTTGGTTCTGTACACGAAGGATTATTTCGACGGCTACGAAGCGGAAATTGAGTCCAATTTGAAGGAACCCGAAACGCACCGTTTGAGAGAAGCTAAACAGGGGAAGGAATTGCAGAGCAGTAATGTGAAGAAGAAGAAGAAGAATTCGAGAAATGAATTCAAAATTTCGAAGCTGAAAAACGAGCCAAGAAGGGAAGTTGGTAAGGATTTCTCCAAGAAGAACAGAAAATGCAGCTCCAATAAAGATTCGGTCTCTGTTTTACCGTCGTGTAAATACAAACAGAGTGTTACTAAAAAACTTGGCGCTGCGAATTTGAAATCTCCGCAGAAGAAGCCACCGAAACAGAAGGAAGTAGCCATTGGAACAGAGGTAAAAAAGAAGATAAAGAATAATTCTCTTCGACATGTCGGAACGAAACCCGACCCGGAATCCGACCCGGACAATTCCAGCCCGATTTCGGTCCTCGATGACGGCGGATTCGATTTCTCGGGTAATACTTCTAAATCCAGAGTAATTAATTATTATTATTACCTTTTTTTTTAACGCGTGAATTTCTGCAGATGAGCGGAGCTCGCCGAAGACGGAGGGGGGATTAGAGAAATGTCAGACCGGCGGCGACCGGAGCGAGGAGGAGGTGGGAAGGAGCTGCAGGTTGGCAGATGAAGATATAAGAGAGGCGAATTGGAGTGTGAAGAATGTGTGGGAATATGAAGCGTTAGAAGAATTATGCATGGAGCTTGAACGACATGTCGTCAATGTATTGTTGGTTCAGACCCTAGATGACCTTGTGTAGGCTGTTGATATGTACCTACTGCAATTCCTTAATAAAGACAACACATCTGTAATCTGTAAATAAGCCCATCTACAGACCTTCTTAGGGTTCACAGTCATGGATTTTTCATTCTTTGGATAAAATGTCATATTTTTTTTTAATTTTAATTTTTAAAAAATTTCTCAAACATATTAGAATAGTATGGTACTCTAAGTAAAAAAAGAATTGTTTGTTCAAAAGATGGATTTCACTTCCTATAATAGAGCATGATTGTTTGGGTTAATTTTTTTGAACCAAACTAGAATGTATGTGTTGTAAATTTATCAAAAATTTGTGACCCAGCCATATGATATATCCAACCCAACTCGACTATGAAACACAACTGTTTGACAAACTCTTCGTATAAAGCTGCTATGGTGATCAAGCTATTCACATTTGGATGACGTAATAAATGTCTTATCCACCTAAACTAGGTTCAAATTGATGTCTAATTGTTGAGTGAAATAGTATCCAAATAGATATATTTGTATATGGAGTTTTAAATAATTAATATAACATATTTTTAATTGATTAGTTTGATTAAATGGATTTTAATTATTTGGTTTGTATAAGTCCAAATTTATGTTAGATCACACAACAATCTCGATACTCTTTTAATTTCTAAATAAGGTGTTTTCTCACAAAAAAAGTATTAAAAAAAAAAGCCTTGCGGTCATTTCTCAGTCCTCTCTGTTGCCAGCTGGTTATTCCAAATTGCCACCGACTTGGCCCATGGGCCTCATTTAACAACCGGTCCATTGTTTACACCCTGCACAGGCCCAAACTAAAGAATTGTTTAAAACTGAAATTTTTATTTTTATTTAATGAAAACATAATTATATTTGGTAACTGTTTATTGTTTTTTACTCTCTCTTTACTTTTTTCTATTGAAAAAAAAAAAACTAAAACAAGTTTGGTAACCACCAATTATTTCTCCTCCTTCAAATTTCAAGTTTTAAATCTAAATTTTTTTTAAGTTTAATTTTTTAAATTAAGCCTTCAACATTTCTATGTTATATTTATTTTTTTTAATATCTATTATGTATTTGATGCATGAACCCGAGACAATAATATTGTTTTCAAATTTAAACAATTTTAGAAAGAAAACAAAAAACAGTAACGCAGTATTTTAGCGTAAAGGTTGGAATAAGATCAATCCCACTTAGTTTACTTGGAAATGGATAAGTTGAAGGTGACAATTGCATTTTTATTTAAACAAAAACGTACTAAACTAAATAGAAAATTTTGTCCAAATAAACATAACTTAACAATAATTGATATAAATCTACACCGAACATATTGTGAGTTCTATTCCTACCAAACATATTGTACTAAAAAAATTAGAAAATTTTATCTTAGAATAAATAAATGGAGAGAATCTTCATCTAAGAAAAGAAGAGAGAGAGAGAACAGACAAATACACAGAAATCAAAATGCCACAGTACATTACTGATTTTGTACAGCCAGCTAGATTATGCCTTTCCTTTTCTTTCTACTTTCTAATTTTGTTGCTTAGTCCTTTGAAAATAGAAATTAGGCTACAGACAAAATAAATGACCAGTAGAGTACATTACGTACAGATTATTACCTTTTTTCCCTTCTAAGTTTCAACATTCCTACCAGCTAGTTTTTCCTTTATGATTTTTAACATTTCTTTTTAGTTTCTAATTTTGAATTTTTAATCCTAAAAGTTATGTTATAGAAAAATATAGTACCACGCTGATCAAAATGAGATGGATTCACAATATATTAAATAATAAAAATGAATTGATAATATTTCTAAATTTTCTAATCATTTTAGGTGAAACAAAAAATAATCCTAAGATCTAACTCATATTATTACGAATCTTTGTTTTTTTAACTAACTACTTCGCTTAACTTCTTGATTGATACTATTTTCATTCATTAATAAGTAAATCCTAAAATACAGTTGTGCGGTGGGAAAACTCATCCAATAATTATCTAATAATATCAAAGTTCCTATATGATTATGTTCCCTCGTCCGCCAATATTTTTGTTATTCTCATAATAAACATTATGATTTATAAGTTAGAATAGGAAAAAAGAAAGAAAATATATATATATATATATATATATCAAGATCAGTCCAAACATTTGACGTGGGAAGGTTGACCATTGGATATAGAAAAAAGAATAAAAGTCAGCAATAGTTTGTACGAATAAATTTAATCCGGGACCCACTGAAGCTTGTTTCCCATTTATGCGGAGGGTCCACATGATGACGTTTTTACGATGCTAACCCCGCTTTGTCAAACCCGTAGTGTAGCTATAGATTCCATATGGAAGAGGTCTTGTAGGTCATTTGACATATATATTTGTGTTTAATTTACTTGGTAAGAAAGTGCTTCATTTTCAAACAAATAATATTCTTTTTTAGAAAACAAATAATATTTACTTTAGCCGTTGAATGCCGATCGAATTAATTCAAACCATATATTATATTTGAGTTAGGTTTACATTGAAATACATTTGTCGTTTTTTCAACGTCGTTTTTAAAAACGAATGTAAGAAAAAAACATACATTAGAGCTCATCGAAGTGTATTTAAAGCAAAGCTAAATACAAATAATATGTCAACCTTTTTCTTTATAAAAATAACATGTCACCTTGATTATATTTGAAGAAAAAAATAATGTTGAAGACAGGTGGGGAATATGATTAAATATTTTCGAGTATGGGGTAGAACAACTCTCCACATATCTCTATAATGGTATAATATCATCTACTTTACTTTTAGTCTTACTCAAAACATCTCCGTACCAATAAATATAGTTATTATAATTATCTAACATGTATTGAGTTCATTCCGTTGTGAAGCCTCAAGATGGACTTTTTTGCCCTCCTGACAATAAACTCAAAAATCAATCAGTTAGAAAGTATGAGCGTAAAGAAAATAATTGCATCTTGTAATTATTTCTTATTCTTTATTTTTCTTTTTCTTTTATCGAAGAGAAGAAAGTAGCAACTAAATTAAAAATTTTAAAAGAAAAGTTTATATAAAAATTAATTTTTAATTGAATATTCAACTTTTTATATTATTATTACTTTTTAATATTTATTATGCATTTTATAAGTATCAAGAATGTTAAAACAATATATATTTTTGTGTCTTGGAAAAAATAAAAAAGGGGAATCATAAATAAGAAATTTATTTTTATTATTTTCCAAAATTTCTATATATTTTGCGAACACGAGAACATTGCCAAAATGATACTAAATTTTAAAAAAACACGAGAACATTACCAAAATGACACTAAATTATAAAAAATGTCTTTAGTATGTGTAGTTGGTTTCATCTTTACTCTTAGGATTCCAAAAATTTCAGTTTTACAACAAACTTTTAATCTATCTTTTGGATATAAGTTGAAACATTTTAAATTGTCAAGGGCATATTGAAATCCAATAGTATTGAAACAAAAATAAATTATCCAAAATTACCCTAAAGCTGGTTTCAATTTTGTCCATGACATTTTAAAACTTTTAACTTTTACTCCCAATTAAGAAATTGAAGAAAAATTAGAACTTCCAAAAATTGAAACTACCTACAAATATTAAAGGTGTTTTTGTATAATTTAGCGAAAAATTTATTAATCAAGGTCATTTTGGTAAGTTTAATGTTTTCTATTTTATGTATTTTGAGAAACAGGTACTGCATTTTTTCAGTTCTCTTAACTGCAGCTTGCAAAGCCTAATTATGACCGTAATTGAAGCGAGAATAAAGGGAATAGAATGTTGCTATTATAAATGCTTAATATCCCAACTGTATTAGAAAAAGGTTTATTAAACTAATTAAAAAAAATTAAAAGGATCGGACCATGTGAAACTCAATCGACAAGATTTTTTGGGACTGATGAGATTCATGTATTATATAGTCTTCATTTCTCCAGCCAATTTAAGGAACCCAATTTCGGAAGAAAATTATTGTACGAAAAATATTTTTTTATTGTCAGATATTTCCTACCAAAGAAAATATAATAATTAAAAACAAGAATAAACTAATTCAAAAGAGAAAAAAAAATCAAAATACGGTATCAGAATGTTACTATTGCAATAATACTAAGAATACAGACCTCAACAAAGCTCAAGTAGTTAATTTTTTTTTTTCATATTTTTTGCTAAGATTTTTCTTCATTTATATAGGATTTGAAATTGTTGGGGGTATGATATATTTAATTAGAATTAGAATAAAAAAACTAGAAATAAAATAGCTCAACAAAACATTTATATAAAAGATAAATAATTTTATTTGTCGTTTTTTGTTCTCACAAAATGTCTCCTTTTATTTCATTGTTCTCATTATCACAATTTGCCTTAGATTTTTCGTTTTAAAAAAGTCATAAATAGTAGAAAAGAGGAAACAGAAGCTGTTAGCAAAGAAACATACATTTTATACCTTTCATATATCCTTCTATTTTATATTTTATGTTATATTTTTTTACTCATAAAATTTATTTCTATTTCTTTATTTTAGTTTTTTAACCATCATTTGATACATGTTTGAATTACGAAGTTTAAATTCTCTCGTAGCTCTACTCTAATGATATAGAATCATTAGTCCCTGTGAATAATTTCTTCGAGAAATTGGTTTGCATTTAATTAGGGCCATCGAGACTAATCTAAAAAATAAAATAAAAACAAATATTGAAGCAGTAATTTAATTTAACCCCAACAAAAAGAAAACCTAGGAGCACTCTATGGGACAACATGGTGTGTCGGTGAAATAATATTAATAATTAATTGGAAGTGAAGTTACTGTGCAATTGCTGAAAGAAACACGGTTTGGCCAATTTCTGTAACCAAGCTGGATATCATAACGAAACTTCTGGATCATCACATGTTCTTATACGTTGATTTCTTCCGATAGAAGAAATAAAAAAAAAATATCGCATTATATTTTCTGTTTGTGCAGCAAGAAAAGAAAATTAACAACATCATGGGAAAATGGCAACGAGGAAGCCAAAAAAAAGAAAAAAAACTGAGCTTATCATTTATCAAACTGTGAAAGAAAATTGAAATCAGCTGTCCCATTATTTTCCAACTAATCCTCGAATTATCAACTCTAGCAAATAGATTCCTAATTTTGTAGCAGGCGAAGAAGAAATTTGTATCTAATTTCGAGTACGAAATATAGAAAAATGCAATTTTATCACGCAACAACATTGAAAAAAATGGGCATTACTTCAAGGATTGGGAAGAAGTAATCATTTAGAAGAGACAACTTTGGATTCTATCCAACATATTCATACAATACCATGATCTTCCTTTTTATATTCAACAATATATATAATTAAATAACATTGTAGATTATTTCATATCTCCCTCAAATTATGTCCGTCACAAAATAATTAACAATATGCAAAATATATATAGTACGAAATTATTAAATATACACAATTAAATCAAAATATGAATGATGAGATGACTATGTATAGTCCAATCCTCTTCCTATAAACCCCTTAGATATTATTAGAAGGGTTCATAGGGTTGGAACAAAACATCCCTCATCCCCTCTCTCTGCTCCTAAACGAGATTTCTCGTCCTATTCGGGGCAGATCCTCACAGGACGCAAAAAAATGAACACTTTGTTGGGTTTGTAAAGAAAATGTAAACAATTTTCCACATTGACAAGAGAAGAGCATGATTCATGATATATAGATGAAGATAATTAAATCTATTGGTACGAGGTTTTTGCGGAGATTATACTTAGGATACCGTTGTTCTTTATAAACCTAGTTTTGTTTCACAATCAAAACCATCACATATATACAAGCAATTTGTTGGCAAACTAGTTTCAAGTCACGACTTCACAAACAATAATTGGGACGATGGAAGAAGATAAAAGCACAAGTGATACTTCTAATTTGTGTATTTAACTTATGTAAACAATAACACACACAACCTTATTTGAGTAAAACATCATGTCAAACTCAAATAATAGAGATATATTTATATGGTAGGATTTTGATTAATTGCTTGCACAACAAAACAAGTTAATGTCTGTGATCAAAAGGGGGAAAAAAAGCTTTGATTGATTATCACAAGAAAAAAGTAAACTCAAACCCCCCATTTAATTATATGAACTTATAACACATATGAGGCAAAAAAACAAGTATCTAGAGGGATTGATTGCAAAATAATCAAGGAAAAGAGAAGTTTAATAATAAATTGAAAAAAAAAACTTGAAAATATGAGAGAAAGAGAAGTAGTATACAGTACTAGATATTATGGTGGTGATGATCTGATCTTGAGAGCTTTGTTAACAAAGCTGTGATTAAGGCATCTCTTTTATCAGCCCTAGCTTCCTCTCTCGTCCTTCTTTGCTCCTCTCTCTCTCTCCATCTTCTCTCCAACATTACTCTCTCCTGCTCTAAAGCTTCCATATTTCTCCTCCATTCAATTTCCCTAATTTGCCTCTCTTTTTCCCTCGCCTCGAACGCCTCCCGCCATTGCACCTCCATTTGCATCTGCTGGTTCATGAATTCCTCCAGTATCTCCTTCAGATGGTTTATGCTACTGCTTCCGCTCCCGCCCCCGCCTGTCGCTGCCGCTTTTGCCTTCTTCCTCTTTCTGCTGCTAACTTTGGTGTCTGCGACGCCCTCGCTGTCGTCGTTTTCTTCGTCGTCGTCGGACGATAGTGCGGCCATCGTTGTCGTCTTCTTCCTCGATCCGCTGCCGCCGCTCTCGGCCTCCGCCAATAGTATCCGTTGCATTCGGGCTCCGAATATCGCTTGTAGTTCCGTGTAGAACGGGAACTGCTGCCTTGAGATTTCTGGCTCCATTGTTTCACAACCCTGCATAAGAAGTTACTGATACTGATATCTTATTTTTATTAATTTTTAAAATATTAATTGAATGGAAATTAATTGAATGATTAAGTGTAAAAACCTTATAACGGGTAACGAGGTTTTTCCATTTGCATTTGCACTGTTCAGCGCTGCGATTGAAACCCTTTTGCTTCATTTTGGAGGCGGTGAGTTCCCACAAGAGCTTGTTGCGTTTGGTCTCCATGAAAGCCTGATCCAGCTCCGCTCTGATCATCAGGAACTCCTTCGTCTCTTGAATACTCCATTGAGGGAATCTGTCGGCGGCGGCGGCTTGGTCGGCGGCGAGGGGTAGATTCTGGTGGAGATGCGGCGGCGGGTGTTGCAGGTGTTGCTGTTGCTGGTGGTGGAGGTGAAGAAGGGGATGATGAGGATGGTGCCCTTCCATGACTACCAAAAACTCGAGAAAATTATATAGATATCTGAAAGAGAGAGAGAAAAAAAAAAGGATCGTCTTCGGAGGAAAGAAAGAGAAAGGGAAAATTTTTAATATGTGGGTTGGTGTGAAAACCAAGTGTGAACTCGTAAAAAAGAGGGCAAAAAAAAAAAAAAAGAACCCATGGGAGAGAAATGGAAATGGAAATGGATCGTCTTTTTCTTTTTTTCTTTTCTTTTTTTTTTTGGTTGGGCTTTTGTTGGCTTCTTAATTCCATCGTGTAATCTCTATACGCGGAAACTCAAGTTTCTCTCTCTAAAAGTATTGTGTGTCTCTCTCTAAAAGTATTGTGTGTCTCTCTCTCTAGCTTTTGGGCGCATACCCATTTGTTCCCATTGCGTTTGCGCGTCGTCAGCCTTACGAGAATGTCCTTTATTCTAATTTCTACGCGACTACAAGTTTACAACTTCATGTCCAAGCTTCTCCGTCTTTTTTTTTTAATTGTTTTTTTCAATTTCACTTTAGTTTAATAATATAATAAATTGCGAGAGTGGAACGTCGCAGAAAGTAAATTAAAATTTGGTAAACAGCATTTTGGTTTTGAAAAGTTTATTTTGAGTGTTGTGATTTTAAATTTTTATTTATTTATTTATTTTAGTTTATGCAGTTTCAAAATATATATAGTTTGAAAAAATAATCAATTTGATTTATTTTGGTCAAAATTTAATATTATTTTTTACACAATAGAAATTCTTTTACTCGAATTTATGATTATATTTGAATAAATTTAATTAGCGGAGTGTTCGTATTAAAGTTATAGTCCAAATAAATGAGATAAAATAGAAATAAAAGATTAAAATAGTCAAAATGAACGTAACTACGACGATAATTGACATGTATGTTCAATAAAAAAATTAAATAATTATTTTTTAAGAGTAAAAAGATGAAAATTAATGTTTTGAAATTCAGGAATGCAAAAAGAAACAGACCGGTATTTAAACCAACAAATTTTCTATTTGTTTTACTTCCTCTCCACCGTACCTTCTCTGACACGTATTTTGACTCCATTTTTTCTTCAGTTTATATTTACACATGATTTCAACTTTAGTTAAATATAATGTTTTTGACCCTTAACTTTAATTCACATTTGAAAAATATTTTCTTAATTTTAAGTCTATCATTATTATTATTATTTTTATTTCTAATCCCTCTGGAATTTTTTTTCCCTTTGTTATGAGCCATGCTAGAGAAAATTTTAAGATTTAGATGAAAACTCTTTATTGATAAATATATTTTGTTGGAGAAAGTTAACTTGACAACAAAAATAATAATTTAAGCTTTTTTAATGACAAAGATATAAAGGGGTGTGAAAGATCTGAACAATAATAATTATATATATTTCAAATCAATTGAACTTTTGGGAGTTGAGCTATTATTTATGGACAATTGCAATATTTTATAGGTAAATAATTTATTTAAAATGATAAATTTGATTTTAAACCTTATTTTTGTTAAACTTATATAATGTCTCGTTGGTCAGTAGAATTCCTATAACATTCATATCTAAAATATTTCGATTAAAAATACTTATAATTTTTTCTTAATAATTATACGTAAAAAAAAAGAAAAAAAGAAAAAACTTCTTTAGAGGGTCTTGTTGCTGATTGGATATCGTTTTAATAAAATCAGGAACGCGGTATTCTGTGACTTGATGTCCCCACGTAGGAAAGCCTACCACGTGTGTCCACGTGGCACACATGCAGCCACCACAAGGGAAAGGCTGTCGGACCCACAGGTCTTATAGTTCACACTGACCAATTCCAAGTCATTGCTCAAAATGATTGACCCCACATCGTCCACGTCAGCCATGTCCACCGTGGCCTTCGATTCCGAACCCGCCACGTATTCAGAAGGTGGAGGGGCAACTTGGGAACAAAAAATGACCTAGAAGAATTTTATTTTACAAAAGTACCCTCGAGTTTTCTTGAACGACACGTCGTCTCTAACCGACTTTAATACAGGAACAGGATGCGCCGAGTAAAAATCTTGAGTTGGTCAAAAGAAATTCTTTTACATTGACCGTCGTCTTGAAATTTCTACGGTTTTGTGTGGGATCCGCCCGACTGCTGAGCTGGCGAGTTGTTTTTTTCCGTAAAAGACAGTGCAGCACCTTGATTCACTTCTACCAAATTCCCATCCAGCAAGGGTAAAATCTGTAATTTAACATCTACTGAGATTTGACTGGGAAGAGCTTTATCAAAAGAGAGAAGGAAAAAAAAAAGAAATTGAAGTTGATTACGCTTGTTTTAAACTTTTCTTTCCATACGTTATTAAAAAATTTTGTAAAATGTCTTTTCTTCCATTGATTTGATTTTTTCAGCACAATCATGTTTCATAACTCTCTTATCCTGACTCCAATATAGATATAGTGGTTCTTTTCAATTTTTTAATCTCGACGAATTTATTGAGTTATGATAGTACATTAATATTTATGGATTTTATTTTGAAATTAATTGATAATAAAAAAAGTAGTTCATGTATATTATAAATCTTTATTATATTTATTTTGAAAATTAGGTGAGATATGTTTATTAATTTTTTTTAACAAATAATCCATTTAAATATATTGTAGGACCTACATCCTAAAAAAAGAGTTATATGATTGTAGGATACATAAAATTCTAACTTTGCTTCTTAGATCATCGAAATTCATCCATGATAAAAACAAAATTATATATGTTATTATTAACGTACGTATCAAAGAAATTAGTATATACAACTTTCATTATATTATAAATATTTATATTCACAAATTTGAGACTTGGGAGAAAATCATGATATCACAATTACATTTTGTCATAGTAAAGCCCAACTTGGATTTGAATATCTCACGGTGCGTAAGAGATTGTTCAGTAATTGGGCTTGATAAGTACTTTGTTTTGTAGAAAAAATATATATATAAAAACAACTTGTCCTTTTCAAACTATTTTATAATTTTTAAAACATAGTGCCTTCAATATTTGTAAGCTAATGCGAGCACAACTTTATAAAATAATATTTAAAATTTACTATATGCAAAATAGAGTTTAAATTTGCAAACTATCCCTCTACAACTTAAGAAGTATTCGATTAGTACAACACATTTGAATTAGGTAAATTTGGTCTATGAATTTGTCATTCGTAAAGGATTAATATATAATTTAAGATGTGGGATTTGGAAATCTTGATCAGGATGACTTAGATTTGAATAAGGATAAGATTGACAAATCTTATAGATTAAGTAAACTTGCCAATGAATTGGAGTGAAAAAATCTCAATAATAGGTTATAAAAATAGGAAGATGTAACGTATTGGGAAAGAACCACAGAATTTAAAGAGACAGTGAGAGAATTGACTTCAATTTTGTGATTGCTTGGGGAGGAAGCTCGAAAAGTGAGCCACAAGCTTATGAGAGAGATTTTTTAGTATTTAAACTGTAAACTTAAAATATTATTTTCTTCTCTGTATTTAAATATTTGTTTTGGTTTCTATATTTTTAATTTTGGTTTATTTTAGGTTTTATAATTTAAAAATATTCATTTTGATCATGCGCAGATTCAGAATTTTCGTTCAGGCACTTAATATAAAATTAAGTAAACACGCTTATTAACGAACTTGGTCTCAAACAATACAATTATAAATCGTGGATCTAGAACTTTATGTTGGGAGATTGCATAAAAATAATTTGAACACAGGGATATGTATTTAGTTTATATATTTTGATAATAATTGGTAAATTTTAAATTTATTTTCATTTAAAGCTTCAGTGCAAGGCTTAATAGATTTAACTTAAAAAAATTATAATAAATTAAACTTTCAATTTTAACTCTAATAAATTTTTTTTGCATCTAATTAAGTTTTTTAACAAATAGATTTTTTTTGTTAAGAGAATATAAACTAATAGATACAAAATAATACAATAAAAAATAATCATTATTTATAAAAATAATTATAAGAATTAAAGAAAAAGAATACAGTAATAAAAAATAAAAAAGAAGTGTACAAACTTGTGGGCAGAGAGATTTGAACGGTGAACGCGAACGGGGCTTGAGCGCTGGAGACCAGGAGCAGTAGATATTTCTTCGCTAAAATTGATACAACATATATATCAAACAACTACTCTCAAGAGGCTCGAGCTCCCTATGCGTCCAACGTTTCATCCACTATGGAGTCTATGTACTTTTGAAAAGTTATCATTTTAGTCTCTATTTGTAAAATTTTACAAAAATTTTATAGACATTTTAAGAATATATTAAATGTAGTATCCTGTTAAAATTGTGATTGAAAAAATGAGATTTAAAATAAAATCAAAGGACCGAAATGATCACATTTTAAAATATCCGATCAAAACAAACATTTTAAATATTTTAAATATAAAAGGACTTGAACCAAAGTTGGGAGTACATGAACGAAAAGGAATCAAAATTGGAAGTTGAGCAACCAAAATATTTTTTAACCAAAATAATATGTATTTTTGAAATATAAACTTAATAAAAGAATGTTTGATAATTATTTTTTTTAATGTAAATAAATTATTTTCTTGTAAAACAATAATTATTAATCATATAATTCTAAAATTATCTTCTTGTTGAACTAAATTATGGTGACATTCCAAAACTTTAATTGGATCCATCTAGTGGTAAATGAAATTGGGATGAAGAGTACATTTTCTATGTTCGTTTTAGAACTTAAAAATTCTTTTCCTGACTCTTCGATTGGTATCAGAGATACGTTTCTTAACCATTTAAGTTATGCTCGACTTGGTATTTTCGTTATTAATATCAAATATTATAACTACTTCATTTAGAAAATATTAAAAGAAAAAGGATGAAAAAAAAAAAAAGACATAGGGGAAGATGGAAATATGTGTGCACAAGGGAGACCAGAATTCCAATATTACCATTTAAACGCTTTGATTCACAGTAAAATCGAAACGTCACACATGCCACGTCAGTGTGTGACATCAATCCTTTAAAGACCAATATTTATTTTCTTTTACTTCTTTTTTTCTTCTTTCTTTTGGACAGGTTTATTTTCTCTAACAAAGTTAAAATGGGAAAAAAAAAAGGAAAAGTCCATTGTCAAAAGGAGAAATTATTGGAGGGAACGACAACTTAGCTACAAAATATATATTTTTTTTTTGAGGAATTAGTTGCAAAATATAGCTGATAAAATATGTTCAACTTCCTTTGCAAAATATATATATATATATATATAACTTCCAAAGTCAAAGCAAAGATTTTTCAATACAACAAGTTAGTTTGACCCTAGTTTACTGAATATATATACGATACCTATTATATTTTCTAAGGTTAAAAATTGGCTCGCATTTCCAATAAGAGTAGGTATGCATTTTGTTTGAACACATTTTCTTTAAATCTATATATATTTACTAATGAGCCAACTTAGGATAATGAGTTGACTATTGTGATCAAATTAATTCTTATAAACAGGTTAACAATGATTAAAAAAAATAGTCGAGTAATCAATATAATTAGAAATGTTACCAATTAGTAAATCTAGTCTAAATTTTATTAAAAGATAGGAAAAAAAATATAATGTAAGTCCTTTATTTTGCGTATCTAAAGTTTCCTCATTTTGTGTTTAGTCAAAAGTAAAAATAAAGCAATTTTATAACGGTTTCCATTTTCATGTGTTCCAAATAATAAATCAAATTATCTTCAAATGCTAACATTTCAAACAAATCAATTAATTTATTTTTTTTTTCAAAAACCCTATTTGGTCAAAGATGTTCCCTGCAGAATCAAGTGCATTAGTGGAAAAATCATCACTTAGGTAATGAAAGGCATTTGATAGGATAATGAAACTTTTTTTAATAAAAAAGATAGGCCAAATATCACATCGAGTTCATTGGTCTTTACACCCAAATAAGGTTTTCCAAGTGTTCAAAATAACTGATTCTCTCTGTCTCTTTAATGGGTCTAATTCAAATTAATTATCATACCCACATATGATTTAGTGAGACAATTTGATCAACAAAAGCTAAAATAATTAAAATATATGATTGTTGGGAGGGTATCTTGAATTGACTCAAAGAGGAAAAGAAAAAAAGGATGTACCTTATTTTATTCTAAAAATTTCTTGATTTGATACATATTATAAATTTATTTATATGGGGAAGACTAGGCAAAATGCAAAATGGAGAATTTAATTTAAAGTGAGATGTATTGTATAAAAAATTGATACTAAAAAAGGGGAAAACGGGGAAAGAAATAAAGAGATTTCCCCCTCCATAATTAATCCTATGGCCTATTTTTTTTTATAACCTAAATATGAGACCCAATATAATTTATCTTGTTTATGCATATTTTTTTCCGTTATGGTAAAATTTAATTATAATATTGATCGTGAACATAATAAATAATTATACATTGATTGTATAAACTGTTCAAATTAAGGATTATATTGACACAAGCTATAATGTATTAGTTCTTAATATTTACTGAATGTTCTCTCACTTTTCTAGAAGTAAAAATGAAATTGACTAGCTCTTAGAGAACATCCTTATTTAATGTCTCTTGTCATGATCCGTATAACCAATAGATTGGACGAAATGCTATGCAATTGTGCGAATAAAACGTCAAAAAAGCTTTCGAAAGGGCCAATAKAAGAAGGTTACATTATTCTTGTTGACAGCTTATTTGAAAATTTTCCTCTTGGTGTGGTCCAAACCATAGCCCAATTGAACACTAGGTGACATCAAATTGAGGTGTGTAGGGGCTCCAATTTTTTTGGTTGGTTTCAACACACAAGGGCGTGTTTGGAAGCCATGAAAAACAACCCAAAAGATGCCCTTTTAAAAGCTCTTTCTTTCGAAATTTCTATGGGATTTGTTTTGTTTATTTAATTATTTAATTATTTTTTGATTTTTGGTGTGGGTAAAGGGGATATAATATGTAATGAAAGAGCTAATTAATTAATTAAGCTTGTGAATGAAGCTGAGTCTAGAAAATGCAAGGGAAGCCAAACATAAAAAGGGGGGGAAGGCGGTGGTTGGAGTACCAAACCAGACCCACAAAACAAACAGACAATCGGTCCTCTCTTAATCCATTGCTTAACTTTTTTTTTTCTTTTTTAAAAGATATTTAAGATGGATCCGACAGTTTGAGATTGAGGTACGAAAGGAACAAAGAGACAAGTCGAAAAGACGGTAAAAGAACACCTAGAAGAAAGACGATAACAACATATTAAAGTAAACAACTACATACTTTTTAAACAAGACAAAACATAACAGTAATTCATTTGTGAAAATAAATTTCAAATAGAATTTATCATTTGTCGGAATCTATAACGAACATAATCATGCCAACTACAAGCACATGCATAAATATAATGCTGTGAATAAGATGCAAAATAATCGGAGGCTAGACGAGAAACACATCCTATACTTGTCCTAAAATTACGTTCTCTTCGAATATGAGATATAGTGGTAACCCAAACATCACTCTTTCTAACGCTGTAGTTGTTTTTTTTTTCCTTCTTCTCATACTCCTCCCATCATCCTTTATGACCCTAATTAATTCCACATGTTTTCTTTTCTGCCCCTCTTTTTTTTTTTTTCACTTTCTTAAGATTTCTTTTACGGTTCTCAGACTTTTTGGCTCATGTATTAAATTTCCTTTTTCGTTTTTGTTCAATAGGGGTAAATTATATTTAACTTTGGTATTTGAAATTCATATTCTAACGGTGGATTTTGTTAATCACATGGCCATATAAACTGAATTTTTTAACCCACCACACGTCATACGCTTGTTTTTACCAATACTAAATTACATAAGTTGCCAAAACTCAACTTTTAAAAATTACAAGAGAGTAATAAATTAGATTAGGGTAAGAAGAGAATTGAGAGATAAACCATATATTATTATGATATGCTCATCGCACTGGAAAAATGAAGCAAATGTTACATGATAAGTTGATGCAGCCACTAATAAACCATATGGGTGGCAAATAGCCATAAATTTAACATCAACAAAAAAAAAATAATTAGCAAACTGAAAATAAAGAAGTAAAAAAAATGCATAATGACCAATATTCTAATAGTTTAACAAATTTATCTAAATATAAATTAATGCTACAGAGTTTAGGCTTTTAAATTGTTTTTGTAGTATGATAAATAGAGGAGGATGATTCAAATTCATGACCTTATGATCAGATGTTTCTATTGACTATACATTTAAATCCTTAATTACAGAAGTAATCTATTTTATATTCAAACATCTACCTAATATAATATTATATTGCTTTATATTTGTACATTGATTTGACATAAGAAAACCAAATATATATTAATTATGAGTTCGTAGATGTGGAAACAAAATAGAGAGCAAGAAAAAGATTATCAAATGCCTTAGTTGACGTATAAGCACATTTACAAATTATAACAGCCTATTTACACTAATAGAAGACTAGTTTTTGAAAGACAAATCTCAAATTAAAAATTGAAAGAAATAAATATAAAGTAAAACTAACTAAAACAACATAATCTAGCCATATATATTCATTCATTTGTTACTCTATAGATTGAACAAG